ACATCACACACCATCCACACACACAGGTTGCGAAAGAACAAAGCAATGCAAAGGAAAGGGAGTCCAAACAACGAACAGACGTTTCTCTGCAAAAGAAACACTTTAATGGGAAAAGTACACAACACAATTGCCGACACAGGGCTGCCATGTGCGGATTTCGAAACGCACAAATCTCCAAATGTACGAAAGAAAAGTAACTACGCAACCAACAACACACGGCTGCGGCGATCAACTACCAAAAAAAAGGCAACCCGTGACACTCGTCAAGGTCGTGGCGTCCCACGATGCGAACACGTCACTGCATGTCCGGTGCAAAGAGGCAACACACTAGCCAATGCTGATGCGAAAAATGACACGTGCGACTACGTGTCATGACGAACACCTCTCTCTCTCTCTCTCTCTCTCTCTCTCTCTCTCTCTCTCTCTCTCTCTCTCTCTCTCTCTCTCTCTCTCTCCTGCCGAGCGTCGTCAGAGGCCACCCATCCTCTCGGCCAGTGCCGCCCTCAGAATTAACGCATCTCCCATCGAGCTCTCCATGCACACCGACCTCAAGGGACCCTGGATTCCAAGATCCACACGATGGCGCACTTTGTTCGCATCCACCTCTCACAACAGATTATCATCAAACGGGATGTCGGCGCCGATGAGCAGGTTGTGGAGAATGCACACAGCCACAACTGTTGCAGCAGCGTCTCCATGTTCGTCTTGTGCGACCACCGGAACAGCCTCCACATCCCCTTTAGTCTGCCGAAATCCCTCTCAACTGCCCCCCTCACGGTGCTTATTGTCGAACCGCGTCTCCGACAGGTGACGAGTAGTGGTGCCATAGGGAACGATTATCCATTCCAATGGTGGGTAACCATTGTCGCTCAGCAGGTAGTCGTTCGTCTGGACGCCGAATGGCAACATCACAGGCGGTCCCATGAAAAGTTCGCCAGCCTCTGCATGCACCCATACACTAGACAGGTGAATGATCTTGACGTCGTGGCAGCTCCCAGGATAACCGACGAAGACGTCCAGCACACGCAAGTCCAGATCGACAACCACCTGCGTGACGATCGAGAAACGTCGTTTCTGATCGTAGTAATCCTCGTCAGGGGCGTTTGTCGGTTTGTCAATGTAGATATGACTACAGTCGATGCAGCCATGACAGTTGGGGAACCCCTTGCCAGCGAAAGCACGGAGGACGACCGACTTGCGCACCCGCATTGGCCACGATATCTTGTCACGATAGACCGTCAGCAACGCCATAGTGACGTTCCTCACCGCCACCAAACCTGACGCTCTGTCGATGCCGAAGTTACACGTGCTGCTCTCGTACGTCTCCCCCGACGCCCACCTGTACAACGCGTACGCGACGATCTGATCTGGCTGCGGCGTCTCCCTATAGAATGTCACACGACGCTGCAGCAATCGCGAGAGAGCTTCCGCAATCTCCCGAAAGACACGTGGCGACATGCGCAGCTTGTCTCGAAAGTAGTCCTTCGTCGCGTCGTCACATTGCCGCAGATCCTCCCACGTCCCACCCTTCCTCCTTTTCATCCACCATCTCGGTGTTGCTCTGGGAAGAGCTCCGCAACCCAAGGTGCAGCACACGTGAACAACGGCATCGCAGACGGCAGCGGTGTCCAACCCAGGGCCTTCCACTGCTGCGCACTGCATGACCTTCCTCCTCCTCGCGCGGATCTGCGCTTTCATTCCCCCCGCTGTCCTCTCCACCTGACAACGAAAGAGGACTGCAGTAACAGCTGCTGCCACTGCCGTCCTCTCCACCGTCGAGCAAATATCAATATAGATTCTGAGAAGAGCCATATGAGGCGAAAGTCTCACGTATGGTTCGGAAGCCGAGCCATATCAGCAATGAGATGGTTTAGGTTAACAATCGCTTTTTTAGTCTTCATTACTTACTTCCTTTTATAATTGCAGGTGCTAGTATTCTTCATGTTGCTGCTTTACATCAATATGGTTCCAATAATCCATTGGGCATAAACTCTTCTGTAGATAAAATAGCGTTTTATCCCTATTTTTACGGTGCGCCGTCTCACAACCAATTTCGACGGGCTTTCAATTTAATCAAAGTCTAGCCAACGTCACTCCCATTGCGCAATGTGGCTTAAAGCATCCAACTCACCCAATTGGGACCAACTCGCCGACGTCAAGGTCGCCGCCGTCCATCGCTCCCGAACGAGCCGTGATGTCATATTCTCCCCCGACGTCTTCCTTGCCTGGCCGCACGCAGTACTCGCCCCGATGACTGCCGCGATGGCGTCTCCTCCCCCGACGACTGGCGCGACGGCATCTTCTCCCCTGACGACTTGCGATGGAATCTTCCCCCCAAGCGACTGCCGCGATGGCGTCTTCTCCCCCGATGGCTTCCTTGCCTCGCTGCACTCAGCACCCACGCCGACCCCTCCTACGTGTTGTGGAAGGAGGTTCCTTTCCGACGTCCTCCACCAGCCGTCGCAGCACCACGACGAACCGCCCTCACCCCAGCGACGTCATTCGAAATTTGAATTTCGAACAGGGACGGCGTGCCTAGTTTTTTTTTGTTTTTATGGGTCGCCGCAAAGATTCGGATTTTTGCCTCCAATCGAAGCTGGACCACGGCCGTACCAGCGGACAACCGCCCATGGACCACCGACCCCACCCCACCCCGCGGTCGTCGATAAGATTATTAACTGGAGGACGACTGGGCGCGGGGCCTCTGTAGGAATCCTCCTCGGACGTCCATCCCGAGGATAAGTGGAACGACGTTGGGAAAAATCTCGGAAGCCCCGAAGGAAAACTCCTCGGGCCCCGAGGACGCCCCGAGGAGTGTCTAACGAGCCCCTAACTATGCGGGAGTCACCAAAACGAGTTATAATTGCAGTTTGGGCCAAGATACAGTTTGCAATTGCTATTCGGGCACCCTACCTGGCCAGAAAGCTGGGTTGTATACATTACCCGAACTGCAATTCGAAACTGTATCCTGGCCCATAGTGCAATCATAACTCACTTTTGTGACTCCTGCGTAGTTTCCCCTTTTTGGGCTTAAAATTAGGCAGGGTGCTCGTACTACCAGGGTTTATGTGAGCAGCCCCTGGTAGAGTAGTTCCTGTGTTGATGGCTCCTGTCTAATGGTGAGGAGCTGCAACTGGTGGAAACCGGGTCCAGCATCCCAAGCCAATAGATTTATGAATTGTCGCTTCTACACCCATGAGCCCCTATTTGGCTTTCGGTGTCCTCCCTTTTGGAGACCCAATCCTTTACTCCTTTCCGTTTCCTGCTTAGTACATCTTCTCCTTCCTTCCACTCATCAAATGACTAATCTATCCTGAATCGTCTCTTTTTTTTTTTTTTTTTGACAAACTTCGAGTCTTTTTTTGTTTTTAGGGGTAACTTCAGTAGAGTCACAAAAACGAGTTAAAATTGCTCTATGGGGCAAGATACAGTTTGCAATTGCACTTTGTTTTTTTTTTTCCCCCCTCAGAGGTTGCGTGTGTTGGTTCACCGGTAGTGCGGAATGGATGGCCAAGGTCACAAAAATGAGTTATAATTGCACTATGGGCCAAGATACAGTTTCAAACTGCAGTTCGGGCAATGTATACAAGCCAGCTTTGTGGCCAGGTAAAAAACGCAATTCTGGCCTCGCATTATTGCACCAACCACAGGGACCCCCTCGGTCCTTGCCGGAGGCCGAAAGACCACAAGTGGAAATGTTACCGGTTCAAAAACAAAAAAAAAGAAAACCCAACGTCGAAAGGTACCACGGGACACAGGCTCGGCAAATTCGGCGCGCACTATAATTCAGGGTCGGCAAAAACAGGCTCGGAGGTACTAGTGGTTTAAGGAGCAACATTTATAAAGCTGAGCCGGGAACCGGGTCCCACGTCCCTCACAAAGTTCGCCGCAGCTCTAAGGCTGAGCAAGGCTCTCCGGCCAAGCAAAGCCCAGGCCACGGCTATGGCAAGATTTTACTCCTTATTCTCTTTTGAATCCAATCCCTCTACTAACAATATCCCTAAGACCAAGTGTAACCTTATCCTAAAGAAAATCTATAGACTCTACTATGAACACTAATTTGAGCACTAATTTGGACACTGTAGATGGACAGAGCAAAAAAGGGAAAGGAAGCAAAAAGAAGGGGGCATTATCTATGATTACTTTCACAAGTTCTGTACAACCAATTATATTACAAAAGAAAAAACTCTGAGAAGCACGGACGGGGTTGTTGCTGCAACATTCAGTCGTGAACAGTCCCAAAAACTCAGTCCAACATGTATTAAAATGCTGCATTGATTTCCGTGAACTCGATACTCCCAGTCAGCCAAAATGGTTTGCTTGATAGCAAATTTGATTTCAGCTCGAACCATCTGTGGTGCCAACCTCTCCCCTCTCCTAGTTGCTGAGTTCCTCAAGTTCCAAAGAGTCCACAATATGGCTCCTCTCAGAGTCTCTTCTGCATATGCATATCGTCGGGAGGGAGGCACTTCTCTCGCTGCCGTTCCGAGTAGTAGAAAACGGTCCTTCCACTCATCAAATGACTAATCTATCCCGAATCCTGATCAGTGCATTTGTTCGCAACTATTGGCTGAAGAACTTCCTCATGGGTGACAGGCGTCGTCCAAGAGTCTTGTCTGAGTTTCTTCCTCTCTGAGTTGTTTTTTTTCCTTCGTTTTTTTGTCTGTTTTCTTTCTTTCTTTCTTTCTTTCTTTCTTTCTTTCTTTCTTTCTTTCTTTCATGATTAGGAAGGGGAGTCCCTCCAGATGTGAAGGAGTTGTCTTTGGAATATTTGCTTCAATGCCTCGACACTTTGCGCTATTTTTTCACTGGCCTCAACACTTGCACAAGTTGCTGTACTTCCTCCTTTTGCTCCAATGCCTCCTGATAAGGCTTTGTGAACAGTTTGGTTATTCATGGAATGCAACACACACACACACACACACACACACACACACACACACAGAGAGAGAGAGAGAGAGAGAGAGAGAGAGAGAGAGAGAGAGAGAGAGAG